GGCTCTATCTTGCTGTTCGATGCCCTCTGCCATAGAGAAGGGCGTGAAGCTAGAGGAGGCCGTGTCAACCAAACTCTTCACTGCCTGTTTGGAAGTGACGTTCCGGAGGATGAAGAGGAAGTGTGAAATTAACATCAATGGCGAACAGCTCAGACACCTAAGGTTCGCTGATGATGTGAAGCTGCCTGCGAAAAACGCCAGTCAGCGAGAAGAGATGCAGCGAGCGTTCGACAGAAAAAGTGCCGAAGTCGAACTGCGAATCATTCGGTTAGAAAGCATACCTCGGCTGGATGTCCTACGGAAGGATCGACGGAAGGGTCGAATAAGTCGATAGTGCATCTACCTGGGCAAAGCGATCAACATGTGGTAAGATTAACCGGAGAGAGCCGGTTGCCACGCGTTCCATTTCACCAAAGACATCCTCCTAGGCAACGTCATGAAAGAAATTCGCGCCCATCTCTTTAACTGCGTCGTCTCGTTGGCACAGTTGATTGGCTGTGAAACCACGTCACTGACAAAAGTCAAAGAACGCCAGCTATCTGTCACCGAGAGAGCCATGGAAAAAGGAATGCTGGATATTCCATATAAGGACCACATGCCAACACGGTGATCAGACAGACAGCGAACTGGAGTGAAGAAAGTTGTCCTTAAAAGCAAAACGAAACTGCCACGGGTATCCGGGCACGTAGCTTTTGTCAATCGACTGCTCCATGAAGACTTCTACAAGAATTTGCCAAAAGCTTCTGTTATTTGTCACGTTCATCCATCTTGATTCAGCGAATTTCTTCAGCTCACCGTACCATCGATCTGGATGTCGTCCTGCTGGCCGTTTCCTCTCTCTATCTGTTTTTGCTCATGAAACCCATTCCATGATTCTGATGGATGTCTGATTCTCATCCAGCGGTAAGAGGCGCTTCTTGCGACATGTCCTTGCCATTGCCACTTCGACTTCACTTTGGCAATAACATTACCCACTGTTGTTTATTTATTAGTTAGTGGTTTATTATTTGCTGGCATATCTTTTGTCGTTTCTACCATGCATTTTTCCGCAGCACGTAAGTCTTCTCTTATTAATTTACAATTCCCTTGAGCATGAAATTTACTGCACTGCACTTCGGCGAAGCCAACCAAAAAAACGGGTAGCACATCGCTGACTTACGAATAACAGGCACAGTATTGTGCTTTGGTTGATGATAGAGAACCGTGCAGGTCATACGGTCATGCCGTTTGATGCGTTAACTTTACAGCTACAATTCGCCGCCTTGACCAATCTGATGGCTGACTAAAAATCAGCACAAGATGTAACTGTAATTTTTAAAAATGAAAATTTATTCGCTGTCTTAAACATCTGGTTCATCCATCACTGAGACAACGAAAAACGCCACCTTAAGCTCAAAGAGATGAAGATGTGAATGAAGAACCTTCGACAGCCTTTTCAAACTTGGCTTACCATCTATTCACCGTGCAAGAAGCACACAGGATTCCAATTTCCTGCGGTGCCCTAGCTTCCTTCATGTCCTCAGGAAGGCTTGCCCAGGGTGGTCTGCCGTCTTTCACACGTTCAGAGGACAGAGAGGATGAGGATTACAAGAACATTTCCCTGTGATAACTTCGGGATTCAGTCGTGGACTGTGGTCCCAAACCCATCAGTTCGTATATACTACAGGACGTGCAGAAAAACGCTGTCGCCTTCGGCTATTCTGGACCATGCGATCTTGAACGTTTCATCAGTTAAGCTTAGTAGGTGCTGGAGGCCCGTTCTCACTGCTTCTTAAAGCACCGATCACCCTAATGATTATTAATATCTGGGTCATGCTACTGTGCATTTGATCGTGCTTTGCTCTGGAAGACTAGAGTTCACTTGGCTGGGTAAGTACTATACCTCATAACCTTAAAATGAACGTCGTTGAAAGTCATGGTAGAATTTACTTATTAGCCCACGCCATTTGACTCTGTGGTCCCTGTAGACAGAACCAACACGACTGGAATAGTCAGACGAATGCTATGCTGTGCTTCATTAGAATAAAAATAAATAAATAGTAATTGGAGACAAATGACAGCACTCCTAACATGGCAAATTAACTGCGATCGAACTGAAGGAATGCAGATCGCTGGCGATAGGTGATAAAGGTAGCGTCGTTGATCCGGTGATAATAATCTTCCAGCTTTTTCATAACAGATTACATCAATCAATCATGTTCGTCTTTTGGACGAAAGCAGCTGGTACAAACAAAAAGTAATTTTTGCAGGGAACAGAGGACATCTGTAAAAGTTAACTCCCAAAAACATTCACAGGTCAAGTGAATATATCATTGGCCATTTCTGGTCTCTCGACTACGCGAGACCGTTGACGAGAAATACGTTTGCAATTAGGAACAGGGGAAAAGCCTGCTTCACTCTAAACATGGCAAAGAAGTTTCGATCCGACTTCTGGCATCTGGACTGATTTTATAAAAGGCATGCGCAAAGAGTAGTTTTTGAGATCCATAAGCTTCATTTTACGCTCTGAAACTCAGAGCCCGCACGCTTCCAACGAGGCCGTCAAATCATTAACCACAACTGGTTAATTATGCAGCTTGGCCTTTCGCATGTAACTTCAAGATCATGACAAAACCGCTAAAATTGATTGTCAGATGAGTTTACGTACGTCAAAGGGCACCTGGTTCTGGCCGTAGTTGAGTAGGCGATATCTGAGGGTTTCATCCCTTCGCATTCCTTTGCAGAGACAGCAACTACGTGTAAAAGTCAAATTTCGTTAGCCTGGCGATAGGGCCGTTCTCCTGTGCGTGTAGCGCTACCATTTCTCTCTCTTTCTCTCTCTCACTCTCCCCAGAACTTCCTTGCTTTGCACTGGCTGAATGGATTAGTGAGTTTTAACATACTTCATAACAAACAACGCTCACTGCATGATAAACTGTCAGGATGCTTGTCGAGGATTTATTCTAGTATATTACATAATATAAGCATTTATGGTTATGATTTAAATTCAGCTTTAATTAGAGCAGACTCCGTGTACTCTGTTACGATGAAGAGAATGCAAATCGTTTTTATTAAAACAACGTTATTTTACTTAATAGTCGTAAATAATGATTGAAAATATGATTACTATTACCTCACGAAATGAAACAATGCTTTTCTCTAAAGGAACGCTAACAAGAACAAAAGCGATGAGGGCGGGGGGGGGAATGAACGCGAACGAAACTCGGTAGTGAGTGAACATGCGGCGAACGAGGGTCTTGCTGATGACTAAGAAAACATGAAAGACATATCATGATAAGGAAACTACCGGACACTGAAGATGGAAGAAGCACTCTTAATACAAGAATGCGAAGGTACGAACAGAGAGAAGTGAAGACTTGTTGTCAATCCTGAAGAAAGCAACAATGAAGATCATGAGGAAGATACACACCGAAACAGATCCTAATCTGTTATCCTGGACTTCAGTACCTATCAATATTTTGCTGATCATATTTACGCTCACCTTAACATCATTCCACAGTAAGCAACTCAATCGCTGACTGTTTTTGGTTTTGCAG